ATAAGGCCATCTTCCCATCTAAGCCAATATGATGTTCTCACTCCCATTAGTTTAGACTTTAGACAAGCTACTCCCTCATCTTCTTAGGTTAGATTTTGAGCGTTATTTAAAAAAAAGAATAGGAAGAAGGGAGAGCGTAGTTTATATTGAAACTTCCCTCCACCACTTGCTTTTTCCCTCATTCTCCTCAACTCTCGGGCATTCTGCCCATGGAAATCCCTCTCACCCATGTCCGAATGTATTAGAGAAGGCACTCATTATCTAGTGTAGAAATGTTTCCAATCAATAAGGCTACAAGAATCATGTTGGTTCTAGCAACAAGGGCATTAAAAATACACTTAAGGCCATGAACACACCCAAGTTTTTCATTTTTTTTTTGTTTTTGTCTTGTTGAAATCTCTACTTTGAAATATAAGAATAGCTGATCAGTTCTATGCATAAGCTAGCCATAGATAATGGGTTCTCTCATAAATTAACGAGAGGAGAGTGCCTCCTCCCTTCCTCCTTTCAACTAAGACCCCAAAATCATTAGTGATGTTCACATGAAAATGGAGTCATTATCTTTTTTCTCTCCTCAAAAAATGCAATTTAAAAGGGGGACTCATCACCCCTAATAATAGTGAGTGGTGACTCTATTGCATGTAACCCAATGACAGTCAAATTTGAGGGTTTCATGTAGTATTCTAAAGGGTAAGGAAATTTTTGAGGGTGGTAGTGTATGTACTGTCAAGGAGACATCCATCCAAATATGGGAGGATGCTTGAGTTCTAGACCCTTTCAATGGCAAAATCCTATACCCCCTATTGTGATAGGTATCATATTTAGAAAGTGGAAAATCTAATCTATGTTTAAAGTAGGTGTTGAAATTTGTATATACTAAATTGGATTAGGGAAAAATTCCAATTAGTATCCTGTACTTTGGGCCTAGTGCCACTTTGGTCCCCGAACTTTAAAACGCGACAATTTAGTACCTAAACTTTCAAAACGTGTCAATCTAGTACCTACCATTAAATAGCCATTAAGTGGCATTTGAACCTTCATATGTCATCTAATTTTCTTCAACCATCCAAACATTGACAAAAAATGAACAATCTCAAATCCTTGCCTCTTCTATTCAATAAAGTTGGGGTCACGTCTTAGTGGGCATTTTGGTGACCCCAACTTTCTTGAATAGAAGAGGCAAGGATTTGGGACTGTTCATCTTTTATAAACATATGGATGGTTGATAAAGAAAATTAGATGATACTTGAAGGGCATTTATGTCTTTTCAAATTCTGCTTAACGGCTGGTTAACATATTAGTTAATGGTAAGTACTAAATTGGCACGATTTGAAAATTCGAATACTAAGTGGTTGCATTTTAAAGTTTTGGAGCTAAAGTGGCACTAGGCCTAAAGTACAGGGTACTAATTGGGAATTTTCTCTTAAATTTATTCAGGACTAAAATAGAGGCTATAGCTAATACCATATTAGTTGGTTTGATCAGTTGGATGAGTTTGAATTGGAAGAACTACACTCATGGCAAGTTACTGATCAAATCTATGCAAAACATGGCTAAGAGGTTGGAAGAAGAGAAGAGTGGATAAATCCCTACCATCTCATCCTCTTTTCCATAGAACTATGGGAAACAAATATAGAGGATCTAAGCACCCCAGGAGATCAAAAACTTCCCTTGGAGGGCATTAATGGAATTCTAGCAATGAACAAAAATCTCTTCATGAAGAAGGTGGTGATATTAGATGACTATCCTAGGTGCATGGGTAAAAAGTAAATGCAATCCATTCCCTCCTTCATTGCCCAATAGTTGAGGCAGTCTGGTTTGAAATCTCCATCTTGGTCCACACCTATTGAGCTAAAAGTTTTATTGAGTGGATTTTATTGTGATGTGTTGTGTCCAAGAGTTCAAAGTCCCATTGTGTGATTTTCGTAACAATGTTAATGAGTTGTCATATTTGGAAGATGAGGCACCGTCTCCTACACACAGGTAGTAATACCCCTCTAAAGACTATCTCCCTTGTAGGTAGTGGTGAGAAAACGGTTTATTCAATTAAAAATCGAACTAAATAAACTAAAATTTTAAATGAAAAATCAAACCACAACAGAAATAAACAAAAATCGATAGTAAAGTACGGTTAACTGGATTTTCAAACATGAAAACCAAAATCAAAATTAAAATTTTACAAAACCAGAATAATTGAACAAAAAAATCAAATCCAAAATTTTCAGTTTGATTTTTTGGTTTTAAATCGAAAATGCTCACCTCTAATTGTGGACAAGGGTTTGAAAGAGTGGGAAGGGGCTCTCTTCAAGGACAAAGATGACAAAGCAAAGATAGTTAAGATTGTTGGTCTCATCCCGCTCGAGGATGGTTTTAAGTTGAGCATTAACATCACATTTGTGGGTCCTTTGGTTACAACTGACTTGGGAGTAGTGGTTCATACTCCCCATATCTTGCTAGTTGAGCTGTTCTAAGAATATATTCTCACATGTAGTTGTTTAGAAGACTGGGGATCCCTCATTTGGTTGTTGAGTATGATGTGAAAGTGTTATAGATATATGATTAAAGCTTCTCACCTTCATAGCATATTTTCTTGGATGTAATTAACTTATCTCGGGCCTTTGATAACATAGTGTTTAGCTTCACTCCAAGGGATATTAATCCAGTGGCACATTTCCTAACCAAAGATCAAAATATCGATATGCGTAATACTAAAAAAGATTGGGTATTGGTGCGTATCAGTAGATTGATACTTTTTTTCCATCAACCTAATAATGCTCACACAATCTAAGAAGCTAGGATGCTTTCTATCATCCTAAACGTTCAAAACCCCCAAATTCTATGTATTTGACCCTTTATATATGGATATCATAGGTATTAATGTTTTGATTCTTGTTCTTACCATGAGAAGTCGGTCTATATGAATGTTTATATATCTATCCTGTTGTTTGTGTCTAAATTACTATCTAACGATAAGGGGTTTTTCCCCTTTAGGCTGCATTTAATTTCAGTGGATCAATGGAAAAGTCAGTTGATAAGTTTAAAATTTTAATGGACCGTTGAAATTTTTTATGTGATAATTGTTGTAAATAATATGTCAATTTTATTGATGTATTGATGTATTATTTACATCGATCATCGATGGAAAAATCAACCAATTATTGGAAACAAATGCATGAAAATACAGATTGAACGTAAAATTTTACACCAATTTGTATTTATATTAAAAACAAACACATGTAAATACAAACCAACAATAAAGTTTTATATCGATTCACATTTACACTAAAAACAAACACAACCTTAAAGTCTCAATAAGTTTCATTTAAAAAAATAATAATAATAATAAATCGATATAAACTTGTCCAGTTGGGCTATGCCCTATGTTACAACCCGCCGGAAAGCTCACTACTAACCACACAGTGTAAGCATGTGACTTACTCAATTTCCATTAATTATTAATCACAATGGTGACATTCCTTATAGTGAGGTCTTAGGCTTAGCAAAATTTGTTTTTTCTCTTGTTAGTTTCATTAAGACCCTGGTAACAAACACTAAGGTGGAAACAAAATATGTCACTTGTTACAAAAGGGAAAAGCCAAGAAGAAATAATAGCTTTGTTTTGTAGTCCGGGCTGGTCACGCCTCAGTATTTATTTTATGTTTTTATCTATTTAGGTTTCAGGGTCATCTGTCCAACTTTTTTTTCCTCTTAACTCCCCAATAGCTCTAGGCTCTAGCATAGTGGTAGCATCCTTGGGAGAAGAGCTTTCAGCTATGCATACCGATGGGCTCTGTTTGGTTTGATAAAATAAAATTGTGATGTATTAGAGAGAGAGAGAGGAAAATGCAAACCTTACCTTCATAATTCATAAATCACGGGCATATGCACATTCACGTGGGGTTCTATTCGAAGTGGGACCAATTCTACTGTAGGTGTCCCACGTGTCTTTGCAATTTTTATATCGACGATACCATTAGACATTTGGCGAGAATTTTGTGGGAATTTGTTGTCTAATTGGAAAAAAAAAGGATGGGTCGACGGACGGATCCAGGGCCAGGTCAGCATTCCCTTGACACGATTGCGACAATTTGTCACCTTTCTCTCGATTCACAACTGACAATTCTGATCAGTCTCTGAAAGATGTTGCAAAGTAAAAGAAATGGCATCACAAAAAAAATATATTAGGGGCAATTACGTCATTATAAGGGGGAGTCATAGCTTTTGCTGTAACCTATCTGGCAGATCCATTGTCTAGTAGCGTTCCAACGTTCAAAAGCTTAACTGTTTTCAGAAAATGGTCCCACCCAAATCTGACTCGTGACCCAACTCACGGCATACTACATTACAAAACACTATCCTCCATGCTTCCTCCATCAACCACCGCCACCACCACCACTCTCTCTCTGGACAACTTAAAATCTTTGATGATGGCAGAATTTTCTTGGGCAAGGTGACCGTTGAACATCAGGATTAAGCTCAACTAAGAGCTAACTGAAACGGTTCTAGTTGGGGATTTGGGGTTTACTGGCTTGGCTCAGCTAGTAAAGTTAACATATAACATCTAAACCGTCCATTAAAGTGACCTTTTTCTAAGACTTCTTCAAGGGTTCTCATCATCTCTCCCAGAGGCACACAACTGTATGAAAAGATTGACCAAGTCCCTCGACTAGTCAAACACCACAAACAAGCTATATGATAATAACATTCTTGAACACGGTGCACGTAACTCGTTCTTGTGAATGCTGACCGTTTAAAGAGTCTATCTTATCTAGAGATATACCTTTTGGACGATAGGCACTGACCCTCTCTCTCTCTCTACATGCAGTGTTGTGAACTCATGAGTCATGACTAAGATAAGCCAAGCCGAGCCGAGCAACCATCTCAACTCAAAACGACGAGTAGGATAAAAACCCGACCGTTGGACTGAAATCATTCCCGAAGAAATTAACAAGAATATCAAGATAATAATAATAATAATATAAAAAGCGTCATCCCTTGTGGTTTCAGAGACTTTCACGTTGCTTTTTCTCATCCTCCTCCTCCTCCTCCTCCTAAGGTTTCCCTTCTCTGAGACTGAGAGCTCGAGAGACCCGCGACCCACAAAACTCAAGAAAAGAAAAAAATAGAAAATTTGTTGGGTGTATCTTCCCCAGCTCTTCGGCCAAGACATTCTCTTCACTGCTATCAACAACATATATTTTAATTTTTAATGGGCTCTCTCTATACTTTCTTCATCTTCTTAGTTTTCTTTTGCTTCTCTACTTTGTTCTTACTACATTCACCCTTACAGGTTACAGGGCTTCGAGACAATGACTGGGGCTCCGTTCCTACGGCTGCTAACAGAACGAGGCACCACCACAAGTGGGTTGGACCCACTGGCCGCCGAGTGATCACCGTCGACGCTCGTGGGTGCGGCGACTTCCTTTCGGTCCAAGCTGCTGTTGAGTCCGTTCCAGAGAACAACAGAGAGAATGTCATTATACAGATCAAAGCCGGGGTCTACATGTAATCTTCAAACCATCCTTTTCTTCTCCTGTTCGTCGATTATGGATTTGCTGGTTGATTAATAATAATTGTCAGTTTATCTTTTTACTCATTAAAATAATGTCCACGTGGTTTTGTGTGGTGGGAGAGCAGAGAGAAGGTCGTTGTGCCAGCGACGAAACCATTCATCACGTTTCAAGGGGAGGGCAGGGAGGAGACAGTAATCGAATGGCATGATAGAGCGGGAGACCGTGGGCCGAACGGTCAACAACTACGCACATATAATACAGCTTCTGTTACTGTTTTTGCTAATTACTTCACAGCTAGAAATATTAGTTTCAAGGTGAGCGAAAATCCTTCTGATATATATTTTCTAAGTGTCTCCTTAAAACTCCTATACTTGAGTAATTAAATAAGCATAGATCTCGGCCACTGGTTCTCTCTTGAAGCTATAAATACGAACAAGGGGTTTCACAACCCAGATTGTACAGATTGAAATTACTGGAGTATCCTAAGGTTTTATGTACTGAAGTAGTGAGAAAATGAAGGAAAAGAGAGGTTCACGGCTTTCAGAGATATACAGTGTGTTCGACGATAAAATGGGAAGAGAACTCCATTGGATTTCTTAGAGGTGACCATCGGAGATAGTGGAATAGATCTGAATTCAAATCTAAAAACTTAGTATTTAAGGAACTAAACTGTAGATGCTCAGAAGGTGATTAAGAATAGTTAAACATGTTTTGAAATTAATGAATAGTACTGTGGCCATGCAGAACACGGCACCGGCACCGATGCCAGGGATGGAAGGATGGCAAGCGGCGGCCTTTCGCATATCGGGTGACAAGGCTTACTTCTCGGGTTGTGGCTTCTACGGTGCACAAGACACCCTCTGCGATGACGCCGGTCGCCATTACTTCAAGGAATGCTACATCGAAGGCTCTATCGACTTCATCTTCGGCAATGGTCGATCAATGTACAAGGTACAACTGCACACTTGAATAATAATAAACTCGTCATCATCTTAAACGTATCAGCATTTGCAGAAAGCCAGAAACCCATTAGTACTGGTGGTAGAGAGATCAGAGACCAGAGAGTAGCAACCCTTTTTGGAGACCATCCTGGTTGGCCGGACCAGCCTGACTCTGGTTGAGTAAAGTGATGAGAACCCTTTTTTCATCCGATCCGAGTTTCTTTTTGCTCTTCCACTTCTTGAGCATATTACAAAAGGGGAACCTAAACCCCAAGTGATGAAAGAGAGACATCATCGTCGTGCGCCTGCAGAGTGTGTAATCACCTTTTTCAGCCTCTTGAACGGAAAAGAAAGAACGCATGCAGATGCAGTGGGACAAAATAAATAAAAAATAAAATAAAATAAAGCTTTTCGTGCTGTTTGGGTAGGGGTGTGGGCTAAGTTAACTACTAAAGAAAGGTGTTCGTTTTGTTTGTATGTTGTGGGCGGGAAATGCAGGAGTGCGAACTACATTCGATAGCGACTAGATTCGGGTCCATAGCGGCTCAGGACAGGAAATCGCCCCAAGAGCGAACAGGATTCGCCTTCGTCCGGTGCAGGGTGACGGGTACGGGTCCTCTCTACGTGGGGCGTGCAATGGGTCAGTATTCAAGGATCATCTTCTCCTACACCTACTTCGCTGACGTGGTCGCGCCAGGTGGCTGGGATGATTGGGATCACACCAGCAACAAGAACAAGTAAGGAGGACTACTCACTCACTACATGTCTACAACATAAATATATATATATATATATATATATATTAAATTAACACCTTTTAGCAGTTAGCACTGCCACGTATACACACTGCCCGATGGCTGCGCTACAGACAAAGAAGGGCCCCAGGGTAATAGAGCAGAGACAACTTTTTCGTGGGCCGAATCCTGACTGTAGCGCCTAGAGTAGTACTCTCTACTCTGTACTGCTGAGTGAGAGAGAGAGAAAGATTGCAATTTGCGGCAATCACGGGTCGGGGGTAGAGAGCCACAACCCTTACGGCTGCCAACCCCACCATTAGGGAATTTTTCAGAGTGAAGACTGGTGGACTCTGGAGCATGGAATATATATATATATGGGTTGCCTGTAATTTATAAGATAGCTAGATAGATATATATATATATATAATGGTTTTTGGCTTTGGGTTTATCTCTTCTAAGTTCTAAAATTGGGTGAGTTGGGTTGTTGTAGGACGGTGTTCTTTGGAGTGTACAAATGCTGGGGACCGGGAGCATATGCAGTACGTGGTGTGACATGGGCTCGGGAGCTTGACTACAAAACGGCTCATCCATTCCTTGCCAAGAGTTTCGTCAATGGAAGGCACTGGATTGCTCCTCGTGATGCTTAGCCTTAGCCCAGAGACTTATTGTCCTCCTCTTTTTTCTTCTCTTCTTTCTATTAAAATTCTTTCATTCATTCATTCATTCAAAGTTCACCCAAATTCTTTTCCCAACCCCAAGTTGTAATAAACTATCTTAATTGCAAGGCCGGTGCCACTCAGATCTTTTTTCTCTTTTATTATTATCTGTCAATGCTGTGGTTTCCATCAGATGTTTGTTTGGATAAGTTTGTAGAAAGCATTTGAACGTGATTTTTTTTTATTATTATTATTTGTTTCTGCCAAGTTCATTAAGATGTATTTGTATTGTATGCCATCCTAATACAACATGTGTTAGTTTATTTATTGATCGGTTATGTATTGTATTGTATTCCCCATCTTTATTCTTCTTCACACAGTTACAGTTTACAAAAGTAAAATAACATAGTGTTGAGAGCTCAAGTTTTTGAACTAAAAAAACAAAGTCTGATGCTCAAGTTTTATTTTACTGGTTTGATAGACATCATTTTATTCTTCTCACAGTCACAGTATACAAATAAATGAATAATTATTCAATAAGCAAAAGAAAACATAGAGGGGATTTGCAACATTATACAACAGTTGGACTCAGACGCATCTTCGGAGACCTGGAAGCAGCAGCCTATATACCAAAGATAAGATGGTGCAGATGGCAGAGACATGAATGCCTCGTTATTGGGATACCTATGCGATAGGCCCAAGGTCAGTCTGGGCTCGGGTTGGACTGCCCAAGCTGCATCTTAAGGACTCTAATGTTTCCCTCCAGGCCTCCATGTGAGAGCACGAAATCTATCATGAGTAAACATATTTATTAGATTGTTAATGTTCTGTATCCTCACATCACAAGCATAATGGGTTCCAGTGAGATGTGCACAGACAAAATCATGTCCAGACCGTGACGGGACAGTTTTCGTTATAAACAGATCCCAGATCTTATTTAGCCAAATTGGGATAGCATTGCTCACACTGACCTCACAGCCACATCCCACCCTGCATTAGGAATATCTATTATGAAATGCGGAAAACATTCCCAATGTGCAGTTGGTACATGCTGTAAGGTCGTCGTGCAAAGAGCAGATCCAAATTCTTTCCATATTTACACCAACCTCACATCAAGAACATCTCCTATACTTCTTATTGTTATTTCATGGGAAAATACTCTCAATACACAGTAGGATGGACTGTGACATCGGTGTAATGTGCGCTCTGTGAGGAGCAAATGATTCCATATTCACACACTTGTGCTCGTATCAAATCCACACTTCCATATAAAAAAAGCCCAATGTTAACAACAACACTATCATACATGCATGCATGTGCATAGTTTAAACTTTACAACATTACACTTCAATCAATAGTATAGCAGATTTTTATACTTAGAATAAAAAACCATCATATATATATATATATATATATAACACTTACAACAGGGAAAGATTGGTTAACTCCATATCAGGAGCAAATTCTTGCAGGATATCAATAGGGGGTTGGCCACATTCTTGCATTTTCTGCATGAGAACAACTATTTTGGGAAAGTTACCAGGATCATTTTCATATGCTACGTTCAGTTGTTTTATGATCATATATTGGTGGTTGTAGCGCTCATATTCTTCTTTGCTCAATCCAGACTTATGATCTCCCAACCACTTTGGATATCTTTCTCCGATTTCTTTTATTGGTCCATGAAGAATCTCCTTAGACAAAAGCTGCTGCATCATGGTCTCTGCAATTGATTCCATGTCCTACAGAAAAAATAAATAAATAAATAAATAAAAGGATAAAGCTAAAACAGCAAAAATGCTCAAGTTTAATTTGTTGTATTAACTTGTTTGCAAGCTGGTATAACAGAAGTTGAAAAATTATATTTGTCATTTGGGTACTAAAAATATTGTATCGTATATGAGACAAAATTATATGATCCAACTTTATATAAGAGACAATTGAGATCTGAGGAAGGTGTTTCAAATTTTGCAGCACTTTTCGGGATGTAAAATTGGTATTGAATGCAAATGAGAGGGTGATTAAAATTTATAGGAAGTAATGTTTTAAAAATCGATTCAGAATCGAAACTGCTTTGACTACCAGTTTTCAGGTCAGAGGTTTGATTGTCTGGTTTGAATGGATCAACGGGTGACAAATTAAAAAAAAAAATTAAAATAAATCCCTCAAAGAAACCATTATCCGGGTGGATGATTCAACTGCCTAGATTAGTATTTTTGACAAAAGGGGGTTTGGGTTGAAACGGGAACTGATATCCTGACTGTTTCTGGGCCAAATGGTCCGACTGTATATATTAACAACAGCTCGAAAACCATGAGCCAAGATTTGGGTCTTTTGTCATACATACATACATAAATTAATCAAAATGATTTTCCAGAATTTTGGTTTGATCGGTAATCAAATACCCGAGCAATGAAACTGTAGTATAAGAATTCATTTAGGTTGTGATTGGTATCAGTGCCACTTTTATAATTTTTTTTTCTACCACAAATGCTTTAAGTTATCGAGTTGTTTCTTCATAAAACATGAAATTTAGTGTTTCTAGTATAATTCCAATATCCAATTCAATGCCTTTTTTTAGTGAAAGTAGTTATTTAAAATGATGTGATGATGTGATGAGATCATTTCTCAAAAATTTGCATTGGCTGACCTAAACTTATAAGGAGAAGTGGCAATGGTATCAAATACAACCTTTATGGCAACATCAATAATTAAGGGGGCGTTCTTTTTCGGGATTTTGAGAGGAGGGAAAGTTGGTCAATGGGATTTTGGTTCCCATTGACCAAAAATCCCTCGTTCTTTTTTCATATTTATGTAGGGATTATGGAAAGTTTATTTTCCTTAGTACTTCTAGGTGGGTAAATAACTTTCCCACGTAGGGGAAAGTTTGCCAAAACTTCGGTGCAAAAAAAATATCCCTTCTAATAATAGATTTTTATGGTTAAAATGGTCATTAAACAAAGAAAATAAAATAACAGGTAAATGCAATTACTTGGATAAATGCATTTACCCGGATAAATAATCAGGAAATAAAACCCTAAACCTTATATGAGAATAGAAGTATACCTGAGACCCAGCAAGCTCCTCAATCTGCTTAACCAAATCATCAACCATTATTTCCTTCGTCAAATCATCTCCACCGACCTTGTCTGTGGTTGAATCCATCTCCTGGACAACCTCTCGTGTCTGCTGCCTAACCTTCTGAGGCTCCACTGAAACGTCAGATTCTATCGAGACCTTCTGCTTCCCTTTCTTATTATAACTTATCAAATCAGGCAACCCATTGCCCAACCCTTGAACACCAGAAGGCAAAGAGAGCTTATCTTTTTTCTCCTCTCCACCATCCACATTACTAAAAAAATTCACAGGAAAAGAAAAATAAAATAAGATAGAAATCAAAAGAAGAAAATCAAATGACAAAACAGAGAAACTCTTGTTACCTTTGGCCAGAAGAATCAAGGTTGAAATCCTGGAAATCGCCTAAAGCACCTGAGAGAATTAACAAGAACCAATATAATCCTTAGAACACGCATTAATACATGCATGGATACAGAAAGAACACCTACGAGAGACAGAACTTACTATCGAGGAGTGCTTCTAAATAGTAAGAGTTATCGTCCATTTTGGTGTCTATCCCCCTCTCGAGCTCTCTTTTTTTTGTAATCTGGGATACTCGAATTGAACTCAGGTGTCTCCTTTTTATATGTTGGAACGTAACGAACCAGCTTGTGTAAGGAAGAATCAAAGAATCGGACACTTGCCGCTTCGATAAGGAAACCCCAACACAAGGCAAGTACCGATTGCAGAATCAACTTATATGCTAAAACCACCTGTCATGTTTTTTTCTTTATCTTTTTAAAAGAAGGATCAAGCCTTTGGCTGGGGAAAAGACTCAGAAGAGTACTTGTGATGGAGGCCCATCCCATTATGGAAGCATATCTCACCATATGGGCGGCAGTTCATAGGAAGCAAGATAAATCAAGAATTTAAGAATCTAAGATAATTCAAGAATTCAAGATAAATCAATAATTCAAGAATCCAAGATAATTCAAGAATTCAAGATACATCAAGATCCAAGATTCAGGGAAATTCAAGATCCAAGGTAATTCTAAGAAGATAGGATAACTCATGCGCCCAGGGAGATCGGACGGTGGAGATTAAGACAAGATCAAAGAAGAGTTCGAACCTAGCTAGAAGATTAGATGTTTGAGATCTATCACTATTTTTCTTTCCTAGTTATTCTACAATTTCCAGATGTATTATAAATATTGTTATTTTCCAAGCTAACAGACAACTTTAGTTTTTCGCCACCTTTTCTCTCTCCTCTAGAGATTTACGTTTAGCTTCGCTAGAAGCTGGTGTTCGCCCAGTGCTTGCATAGCCAGCCCAGTTTTCATTGCTTCCACGCTACGTCAGGTGGTATCAGAGCAGGGAATTCGCCCAGTCAGATGGCCAACCAAGACGGAAGCAGTCGCAACCCACCCCTTGACGGAGATCAGGGGTTACAAGCTGTTTGGAGAGCAATCGAAGAGCAGCGCACGGCCACGCATAACATCGAACAACAGTTGGCAGAGATGGTTGAACAACTGTGGACCTTGTTACGGGAGGTTGTTCCACGGAACCGGGAAAATCCACATCCAATCGAAGGAGACGATTACGACAGACCACCCGTCCACACTACATCCCGGCATCCAGTTTTCGATGATGAAAGTGACGACGAGTTAGAGTTCGGTGTTGCTCCAGCTATTCCAGGCAATGGCAGAAACGGCAAAAATTGGCGCAACCCAGGTAATTTCAATCCCTGTCAAAATAATGATGAATTTAAGCTCAAGGTAGACATTCCTACTTTTAGTGGAGATCTGGGGATAGAGGGTCTACTAGATTGGATCACAGAGGTCGACCGTTTCTTCGAGTACATGGAAATCCCAGAAGAACGGAGAGTTAAACTGGTAGCCTTCCGACTAAAAGGAAGCGCATCTGTTTGGTGGGAACGCATGAGAGAGACCCGGATCAGGGAAGGAAGGGGTCCAGTTCGAACCTGGAGGCGCATGAAGCAGTTAATCAGAGGTAGATTTTTACCCCCAGATTATGAACAGTATATGTTTGAATCATATCAACGATGTGCGCAGGGTTCCCGAAGTGTTAATGAATATACATCTGAATTTTTAAGATTAGCTGAAAGATATCAATTATCTAAAAGTGATAACCAGCAGGCAGCCCGTTATCTGAGCGGTTTAAGGCCGGCTATCAGAGATAAAATTGGCGTCCAAATGGTTCTTAGTGTGCAGGAAGCAAGGAACCTAGCCTTGAAAGCTGAATTAATATTCCAAGAAAAGGCCCGTAGTGATAATTATCGCCGGTACAACGGGAGCGACAACAGACCGGCAACTGTCGACAGGAACAAATCAGCCCTGGTAGCACAACCTTCTCACCCGGTAAATACAGCTAACGCCGGTAAGGCCATCACGGGAGGAAATACTCGAGGTAACCCTTCCAACCCTCCTAAACCTAGTAATCCCTATGCAAAACCTGCTCCTTTTAAATGCTTTAAGTGCAATGAAGTTGGGCATAGGTCCAGTGGCTGTCCCAGAAGGTAGGTAGTTAATATGATAGAGAGGGAGGAGGAAGAAGATGTTGAAGAAGAAGTATATTGTGGACCTGATGGGGAAGATGAAGAAGGTTCATACGAACATGAAGAATATACATGTGTTGTGAGAAAATTAATGTTGTCCCAAATAAATAAAGATACCTCACAAAGGCACAGATTGTTCCGTACTAGATGTACTATCAATTGTTCCGCACAGATTGTTCCCAACTACTTCCTGAAAAACATCCAAACCCATACACAATTGGGTGGATCAAGGAAGGAAGTGGCGTACGAGTGGAGGAACGCTGTAAGGTACCATTTTCTATTGGTAAGTATAATGATGAAGTATATTGTGATATTGTAGACATGGATGTTTGCCATATTTTGTTAGGTAGGCCTTTGCAATTTGATACAGATGCAAGACACATGGGTAGGAAGAATACCTACCAACTTGAAAAAGAGGGTATACGTTATACTTTGTAACCCATGGCTGAAAAGAATGTTCCAAAGGCCCCAAAAACAAATGAGAAAAATTTCCTTACTATTACACATCATAATGCTGAATTTGTAAAAGAATGTAAGGATACCCACGAGGTACATTTGTTGGTAGTAAAGGGAGAAGATATGAATGAGACCTTGGAGGGGAATAAAATTCCAGTGAAAGTGCAGAGACTACTTGATGAGTTCCATGATATAGTTCCAGATGAATTACCAAATGAACTCCCACCCATGAGAAACATACAGCATCATATTGATTTTGTTTCGGGAGCTAGTCTACCTAACCTCCCACATCACAGGATGAGTCCTAAAGAGAATGAAATTTTACAGGAAAAGGTAGAAGAATTGTTGAAAAAGGGACACATTCAAGTCAGTACGAGTCATTGTGCAGTATCAGCATTGTTAACACCAAAGAATGATGGAAGTTGGAGGATGTGTGTCGACAGCATGGCCATTAATAAAATTACTATTGGCTACAAATTCCCCATTCCTATGCTGGACGACATGCTAGATCAGCTTAATGGAGTTGTAGTTTTCTCAAAAATCGATCTCAGGAGTGGATACCATCAGATCAAAATCCGCCCCAGAGATGAATGGAAGACAACCTTCAAGACTAGAGATGGCCTGTTCGAATGGTTAGTCATGCCCTTTGGACTAACCAACGCACCCAGCACATTCATGAGGCTGATGAACCAGGTACTACGTCCCTTTACTGGTAAATTTGTTGTAGTATATTTTGATGATATTTTAATTTACAGCAAATCTATCACTAAGCACATTGGACATATTAGGGAGGTCCTAAAGACATTAAGAGAAAATAAATTATATGCTAATTTGAAGAAATGCACTTTCATGAGTGATAATTTGTTATTCCTGGGGTTCATTGTGAGCAATGATGGAATTAAAGAAGATGAAGAAAAGGTGAAAGCCATTAGGGAGTGGCCGATCCCATCAAATGTCACAGATGTAAGATGCTTCCATGGGTTAGCAACTTTCTACAAGCGATTTATTAAACATTTTAGCAGTATTGTAACTCCCATCACTGAATGTTTGAAAAAGGGAAATTTTCAATGGGGGGAAGAACAAGAGCAAAGTTTTGCTCTCATAAAAGAAAAGTTATGCACTACTCTTGTCCTTGTTTTACCAAATTTTGATAAATTATTTGAAGTTGAATGTGATGCCAGTGGAGTTGGCATAGGGGTTGTATTGTCCCAAGAAAAGAGACCCATTGCTTTCTTCAGTGAAAAGTTATGTGAATCCAAGAGAAAGTGGTCCACTTATGACAAAGAGTTCTATGCTGTGGTGAGAGCCTTGAAAACATGGGAACACTATTTAATTGCAAAAGAATTTGTTCTTTACACTGACCACCAGGCCCTAAAGTATCTCAATGGGCAGAAACAATTAAGAAGTGATTTGCATGCAAGATGGTATGTTTTCCTTGATAAATTCCCATACAAAATTACGTATAAGGCTGGACAACAAAATAAAGTGGCTGACGCTCTTAGTAGACGTGTAGCCCTCATCAAGACCCTTAGTATTGAGATTATGGGTTTTGAGTGCCTAAAAGACCTATACGCCCAGGATGAGGACTTCCAATAAGTATGGGAGAAATGTGCGAAGCGACAGCCAGCAGATGATTTTTACATTTATGATGGGTTCCTTATAAAGGGGGAACAAACCAACGCCAAGTACAAGTTGGCAGCAGACAAGCATCGTTGGCACCAAGTATTTGACGCCGGTGATGAAGTTATGGTATTCTTGAGGAAGGAAAGGATTCCCGTGGAAAAGTACAACAAGTTGCAGCATCGGAAATACGATCCATACAAGATCATAAAGAAGATCAACGACAATACCTATGTCGTGGACCTACCAAATCATATGGGTATCTCTAAGACATTTAACATGGATGACCTTCATCGCTACCTACCAGAGATGACACTTGCATATCCTAGTCACGACTCGGGGTCGAGTTCTTTCCAAGTGGGGGAGAATGATGGAGGCCCATCCCATCATGAAGGCCCATCTCACCATATGGGCGGCAGTTCATAGGAAGCAAGATAAATCAAGAATTCAAGGATCCAAGATAATTCAAGAATTCAAGATAAATCAAGAATTCAAGAATCCAAGATAATTCAAGAATTCAAGATAAATCAAGAATTCAAGAATCCAAGATAATTCAAGAATTCAAGATAAATCAAGAATTCAAGAATCCAAGATAATTCAAGAATTCAAGATACATCAAGATCCAAGATTCAGAGAAGTTCAAGATCCAAGGTAATTCCAAGAAGATAGGATAACTCATGCGCCCAGGGAGATCGGACGGTGGAGATCAAGACAAGATCAAAGAAGAGTTCGAACCTAGCTAGAAGATTAGATGTTTGAGATCTATCACTATTTTTCTTTCCTAGTTATTCTACAATTTCCAGATGTATTATAAATATTGTTATTTTCCAAGCTAATAGACAACTTCAGTTTTTCGCCACCTTTTCTCTCTCCTCTAGAGATTTACGTTTAGCTTCGCTAGAAGCTGGTGTTCGCCCGGTGCTTGCATAGCCAGCCCAGTTTCCATTAATTCCATGCTGCGTCAACTTGCAACTACTAAATTGATGAGGGTACATTTGGCCCTCCACTGACATCATGACACATGGCATATCAAAATAGTTGGATTACATCCCACCATCACCTAGGCGACAACTTGCCTTAGCCAAAATGGGGTCCCAGCTGGCGACCTACCTCTATCGCCGACCTAGTGACCTAGTTCTGCTGCCGACCTGACGACCTACCTCTACTACCGACCTGGCGACCTACCTCTGCCACTGACCTGACGGCCTGCCTCTGTCGCCAACTTGGCGACCTGGTGATCTGCCTCTATCACCGACCTAGCAATCTGCCTCTATCGCCGACCTGGCAACCTACCTCTCTAGAAGCTTGCCAGTTGTCTCCAAACCTTTCAGAATCACATTGCGTAACCGTAGGCCTTATCCTCATCCCATCCGAATCAGAGGGAAACGGTAAGCCTTATTAACTGGCATGTTATCCTCCTTCCAAAGCAAAATAGATCCCTACGTTGTGGGCCGAGGATTCCAGGAGCGTTTTGCGAGACCCACGACAACCTAACTATATAAGGGCATCAGCCCCTAAGACCCAGGTAGATGCGCAATTTTTAGTTCTCGCAGTTCTCCAACTATCTCACATTTAGCTATCTTAAAATCTCTGATTCGCTAACTTAAGCATTGGAGTGCCCACCCCGGGTGAAGCAACCCGTGCACTAACACTGTTTCGTTGTACGTCGCATCAGAGCCACCTCTCCAGCTCGTCACTATTCAACTAGGCATCAAAGCCACCTCTCCAGCTCGTCAGCATTCAGTTAGGCATCAGAGCCACCTCTCTAGCTCGTCACTACTCAGTTAGGCATCAAAGCCACCTCTCCAACTCGTCACCATTTAGCTAGGCATCAGAGCCACCTCTCTAGCTCGTCACCATTCAATTAGGCATCAGAGCCACCTCTCTAGCTCGTCACCATTCAACTAGGCATCAGAGCCACCTCTCTAGCTCATCACCACTCAGTTAGGCATCAAAGTCACCTCTCCAGCTTGTCACCATTCAACTAGGCATCAGAGTCACCTCTCCAACTTGTCACCATTTAGCTAGGCATCAGAATCTCTCTCCTGCTCGTCACTTTCTAAATAGGGATTATTCAGCCATGCATCTGAGACACTAGCTAGCCGGGAACTGCCAAAATGTGCATCATCACGAATCAACTTTGGCTGTTTGGAAAAAAACAGCCTGCGTTGTTGCTTCTTGTGCATGAAAAGTTGTCGGACTCAAGTTGTCTTTCACAATAAAGGATAAGCTGAATTTGATAAATAATTCATAGCTAGCTGTAGGACCGATCATTTATGACTGATGTGGAGCAAAATGATTGGGGATACAACCAATAAAACAGTTATCAAATTCAGCTAATCCTACACTCTTGGTAACGCATTATCCACAGGCAGCCCTCAGACTGGGCTGTTTTTTTAATTTTTTTTTCCGCTTTCTACATTCTAAATTCTGACAATTTAAGCTATCTAGTGCAAACGAAGCGAATTGAATCATATATTCAAGTTTGGCTGCGTTACATTTGGATTTAAATAGAATTCCTATTGCAATCTGATATCAAATAACATTAATAATTAATATTATATATTATTAATAAAATGAACTATAACCTTTAATATTATATATCATGCACAAAATATATAAAAAATAACTTATATATGAAACTTGAACCAATGACTCTTTTAATTTAGTAAAAGCACAGCATAACCAACTTTAATAATAGATATAATATAAATGTGCATGTTAACTTGTTAAGTATTTATTAGCATTTATATAATGGAATAAATAGGATCAGGCAAAGGATTGATCCATATTTAATCAAATTATAAATGGATAAGATATTTTTGCAGCCCTACCTTTTTTATTTTATTTATTATTTTTATTTTTTTTAAGGTTACACTCGTAAGTATAAACCACTATCATCCAACTAATTCTATTCGACCACATATATCTAGTTTGGTCATAGTAAGACTAGAACATGACCAGATGGTTTAGTAATTAAAGTGTAATTGTGTCTTGGAATATTGAATTCATGGATCTTCAAAATTCTCATGAATCTAACCTTTTTTCTGACTAAATATGTTTTTATAATTATTAATTAATATTTCAACTTGAATTAATAAAATCTTAAAGACTATATAAATGCAGTAATTCGCATGGTTTTCAAAACTAGACAGGACCAAACGGTTGGACCGGAAAAACCGGGAACTGATCACCTGGCCGGTTCTGTTTTACCCCATAACCGTCATTTTGGCCAAAAACCTTGATTTGGTCAGCAAACCGCTGACACGTGCAGTCAAACCGTTCGAATCATTCAAACCGTTCAGTGGTTTTTAGCTATTTTTTATTTTTTAAATTTTTTAAATTTTTTATTTTTTTTTGTCAGAACGAGTCATCCATTCGATTCAAACGGTTGGACCATTCGACTCGAGAACTGGACCCCTGAACAATTTGTTATCCGATTCAGTTTTAAAAACCTTGGTAATTCATGAATCTTCAACATTCTCATTAATTATTGAATTGATGCATTATCAACAAAATTATTATATGATATGTACATATCCCAATTGTCTTATTTATAATGTATTTCTTCATATATATACTTATACATATCCCAAAGGTTATTTGCATCTGGAACCTGCATCACAATCACTCCCTCTCTCTATTAAATTTCCAAAGCACTGTAAAACAGCTCGGATCTACTGTCCACTGTAAAGCAGTTGTGCATTGGGAATATCTCCTTATCATTCATAAGATGTTCCTAATGCACGGCCGTGGATAGAGATGTGTAACGAATTTATGAGTAGAAGATCGGGAGTGCTCTAAAGTCTAAAACTGAGGTTTACACATCTTTGAAGTAGGCATTTAGTAATCAGCACGATGCTACCAATAGTTGGCTAAGGGTCTAGCCGACAGAGAGACCGGATCTGCTCCTCATAAAAAAGCACGCCGCACGCCCGCACACCAATCTCACAGCATGTCTTGATCATACATCGAGAACCGATCTGATCGGTTCTCACAGTTAGGTTAACTAAATCGTGGGGTATTTTTTTTAAATCGAACCGATCTGATCGGTTTTTTAAATACCCAAACCGAAACCGAACCAATTCAATTGGTTAATCGGTTAACCGGTTAACCACGGTTCGAGTTTTTGGTTTTTTTATGCACTTAAAATAAAAAAAAAAAGTCTAAAACTATCGGTGGACTGGTGGTTGCTGTCGGTGTTGACCATCTGTTATTCTCCTGTCGGTGCCGGCCATCAATTCAGATCCTGCATCGAGCCATGGTGCTTCTAACAAAGTTATTTTCAAAGGTTGCTAACAATTATTTTCAGAGGTTGTTGTAGGCTGTTGCGGTGAGAACTTGAGAGGTGGCGCCTGGCGGAGCCGCAGAGAGGGGAGATGATAGAGAGAGAGAGAAAGAGAGAGAGAGAGAAGAGAGATACAGACTACAGAGATGATGGTGGAGTTGCAACCAGCATTGCCGCTTGGGGCTGATAGTTGGTGCGGGTCGCACGGCGGAGATGACAGGCAAGAAGCCGAGAAGAGAACTAAGAACTACCGGCGAAGCGACGACCAGCGTTGCCGCTTGGTGCTGGTGGTTGGCTCGGGCCACACAGCGGAGATGACAAGCAAGAAGCTGAGAAGAGAACTGAGAGAGGTTTACTGGTTTAGGTAGGAGAGACCGAGAGAGTGAGAAATTGAGAACTGAGAACTGAGAAAAAAAGAGGTTGAAAGTTTCGGTTTTCAAAGAGAGAGACTAGCAATCACCAGTCTGGCAATCAACAATCTGAGACTTAAAGCCTTTTTTTTTAACTTTTCAGTTCGATTTTCAAATATATATATATATCGATCGATTCAGTTAACCACCAGTTTTTTTAAATGGTTAATCGAAACCAAACTGAAATTATCGGTTTTTTAAGAATATCGAACCAAAACCGAACTGACCGGTTTGATTAACCGATTTTTCAATTCGATTACGGTCGATTCTGTTTTTCGATTTTTTTTGCTCACCCTGGTTGTGAATTCAGTGTGAGGCGTCCTCCGTGAGGAGCAGATCCCAATTGGCCGACAGAACACTACTTGCGAAACTTAACAAAAGAAACAAATTTTGGGTTTAGTACGATTTAATCCTATGATCCTATCTGAGTGAATACATTACGTTTAAGTCATTAGAAATAAGTACAATACCAAAGGTATAAAAGGGGAAATTTTATATATGCTCTTCCAGTAAACCTCTCTTTACTCCTTGAAAAACAGAAGGGGTGCTTTCTTTAAACTCTCTTCTATCTTCCTCAAGAGCCATTTCAAAAAGAACAAAAGGAATTCCTGTGTCCAATAAATCAACAAATGAACTGTACAATAGTGCCCACAACTCCTTTTTCTATTTGAGGAAAGGACACTAGCTTCCGTCCTTATAGAGAGGGAGGGTCCCCTGGGACATTCTATCAAAAGCCTTTTGTGTTCAAGAAACTGTTGCATTTCACCAAACAGATCCCCATTTTGGCATTTCAAAATTCCCAGTGGGATATCAAAACCCACTGCTGACCTTTCTCTGGGGCAGAGGATGGAGTAAATGTGTCGACTAATGTGATGATCACGAGAAGCAAAATTGGAGATCCACATATTCACCACTGACTTCACAATTCCACTTCATGAAGATCTCCAAAACTGTTCCCATTTATTGGCAGGGGCTTTGGTGATGGATCACAGGATGATTGTGGCACTCCTAATGCCTCTCCTAGGGGTTTTATGTCTGCTGTATTGGACACGTTAAATGTATCATTAAAGCTTCCACCCCATGATGCTGCCCGCCGTGAGTGGTGAGAAAGAGACTCCTTTCCATTTCCCATCTTCTCCATTCCCTTGTTTCCCATAGGAGCAATATTATTCATGCTTGGAAATCGTTGCCTGGATAATCGTGATGATGATGATGATGATGGTGGTGGTGGAGATGGGATAGATGACTCGTTCATAACAGATGTTGAAGGATCGTTATTGGCTTCAGTGCCTTCTTGTGTGACCTCACCAGTTGTATTTAATGTTTGTTCTCCTGATGCAATAGGAGTGGGAATAAAGAACTTGGCATTGGCACCTCCAGCTTTGGAAGCTGGAACAGAAGGCGACTGGAATAGGTTGGCTGGGGAGGCACCTCCCTTGTTAAAGGTGTCAACGTATCTGCAGAAATAAAACAGAAGCTCAGGGAGTTTCCATCGATTGCAAGCCCAAAAAAATCACACGCATCAAAACCTCTACTCTCTAATGCGGGCAAACAGCTTAACAATACATAGTATGCACCGCAAGGGAATCATAAACTAACCAGAAAATACCACAAGGGTGGGCTCAGGTAGTCCTCAGCAAGGTTCAAAACATTGATATACACCGGTAGTGGTGTATCGGGCAGTATCGATAGCTTTTTTTATTTTTTTTTTAGTTTTTTTTCAGATCTGGTTGAGGGGTCGGTTTAAGGTCCATCCACCCCCTGAACCGGTCAAAACCCCGATACACCCTCTGTAGGGGCATATCGGGAAGCTCCCGATATGGCCTGATATGTATCGATACTTTGAACCTTGGTCCTCAGTTGACACTAGGGCCTCCATCCTTTGCATGTTTTTAATTAGGAGTGCAACTTGGGTGGGCTCAGGTAAAGAATTTATTAAAATTTGAATGGGTCTCAGCCAAAAAGCCTGGGCCCAATAAAGTGAACCATGTGTGACTCCGAATAGCACAAGTAGGAATAGCTCAAATGAGGTAAAAATGGATGATGAGGATGCTAACAAAAAGGACAAGAAAATTTCAAAATGTCTTTACCTTGATCGAACACCCATACGTCCACGAGCAGAGAATTGGTTGGAGCTTGGTGGGATGGGTGGGATCCCTGCATTCCGTTCTGAGGGAGTTGGAGTTTTGGTTTCAGGTGTTCCATTAGAAAGCATATTTTCACCCTTGATTGCATTTCTTATATTGTAATCTGACATTCCATTCTGGAAGGCAGAAGCTTTTGGTGGGGGCGGTAAGGCTGCTTCTTCAGCTGGAGGTTCAGTGCCTTCTTCCACCCATCGCTTAAGCTTCTCATCATAATAGAATTTGTTTCTTTCGCCCAATTTTGCCTTTGGGAGGAAACAGCAGAAATGCCAATAAGTGAGCAACAGAGAGAGATGTAAGAAAATGAAAGCATTTTGTCATTTACTGAAAGGAATATACTAGTAAACATATACGTGCATTTGCACGTGACAGTATCTCCAAGACAACTATTTACAATTCATGGACAGTTTTTGAACAGTTATAAGTGGACAGTTTCTTAATTGTTATAAGTAGATAGTTTTTAAACAGTCTAATGAAAAGTCCAGAAAATGGAGCTATTCGCTCTTTTATTAGTATATATATATATATATATATATATATATCCTAGTCTATTAAGTTGTCAAGAAGAAAATATCCTAATTTTGATGCTCAATTTTCACAAGTGCATCTGGTGCGGTTTCGCAAGAAAATGTCCAAAATGAAAACTTAAGACCCTTAATAATCACTTTAATGTTCTTTATCAAAAGCTTTCTCAATAACCAAATGACTTTAAAAAGGTGAAATAATCCCCGTTTTTTTTTTATTTTCTTTCTTTTGGAACAAAAAGTTTCATGGCAGTAGTAAATTGACTAATTACCTGTCGATCTGTACGGGATCTTGAGACCCACCCCATAGTCTTTTGTAGGAGCTGTGATCCAAAACGTCCAAAACGAGATGGCACACCAGAGACCGATGCTTTGCTTTGAGCATCAGAGGCAATGTCTTTTGATTGATTGACCTGGCCCTATATAATGTCAGCAAGACTGAGAAAGTTCATAAATTGTACCTATAATACAACTTTTGTCAGAAAACAGATCATTTGTTCCCAAAAGCAAAAAATAAACCTGTCTAGGGCTTCTACCAAAGTCCGGCTCTGAGATGCTTCTATTATGTATTATCTTTCTATTGCTATCACCTGTCCACTCACTTATAGGCTCCATTGATGCTGAGGGAATTAAAGAAGACATGGCCATTGTTGATTGACTGTTTGCCACTCTTGGAACCGTTGGGTGGTTATCATATTCATTAATTTGAGAGTTAATCTGGGAAGTTGACTGGACTGGTGGTGGTGGGGCCCCAATCATGCGATGAATTGATCTATCAATAAAAGGAAGTAATTTGCCTACAAGTTTTGCAGGAGCCAAGTTTGTGCCATATCCACCCTGTGAATGGATGTATGCTACCAATTAGTACAAATAGCTTGACAAAATGAAACCCTTTGTATGTCTTAATTTAACTCCAGAAAGATACCTGTTGATGGGTTCTTATGCGCTCCTCAAGAGATGATACTAATTGCTTCCAACTATCCACTTCAGGTGCACGACCAGTTTTCAAAGACTTCAATATTGCTTGACAGTACCTGCCAACACAGAATGATAACTGATTGCAACAATGCACATAACATCAAAGCAAGGAGAAAAAGATCCATATACTTACTTCAATGAATCTGAAAGTTTCCCAACTTCAGCCAGCATGTGGGCATAGATAAGCTTATATGGTTGAAACGGTATCAGAACAGACTGTGAATTTCCAAGCACTTTTGAATACTCATACAGTTCAGTCCTCTGTACAGATTCAATGGATCAGTGAAAAGCAAGACACTAACATAAGGAAAATACGAAACCAACCCAAGATCAATGTAACCCTTAGGTCCACATTACTTGATCCATGGTTCCCAATATTTCGTGTATACAGAACTAGGGCTGTAATAGAGTTGGATTTGATACAGATTCAGCTACATCCGAATCTGATCTGATTATTGAAATTTGATCTGAAATCTGAAATATCTGATTTGGATTTGAATTTAGTTTGATTCTGTTCTATTGGCATCAAGAATTCGATATCACCAATACTCTTTTTTTTATTTGTTTTTCTTATAATGATTAGAGGGTTGTGGCCCACATCTCTAATCTTTTAAATTTTATAAAAGACTATTGTATCGATGTTATCCAAGTGTATCAGGCACACCGATATGGATATGATATGCCCAGTATTTGTATCAGTATTTTAAGATTAGCAATAGAATAAAGAAAATTTTAAAAATTATTTTTTAACTTGTATATATATATAAAATGTATATAATTGTAGAATATTATATATACTATTTATATTTATGCAATATTATATTTCATATAACTGGACTTGGATATTTATCAGATTGGATGGGTCAAATCTGTATCCAATCCGAATATTAAATGGATGCAGGTTTTAACATCCAAAATCCAAATAATCAGATTTGATGTCAAATTGGGTATCAGATTTTTGGAGTCCGTTGATAGCCCCATATGCAACAGATTAGGAATGACATGGTTTGTGGACTATGACAATACAATCAATGATGAAAGACAGGACTGGTGAGAGAAGATATAAAGACTGCCCTAGGCAACAAAAATGGGAAAAGATAATAATAGAACACTGCAACAGGTTTTCATGTTCAGATCAATACTAGAAGGAAAAAAAGAAATAGGATAGTCATTATACAACAGAAGTGCTAATGGAAGGGGAAACCTAAAGAGTAAGCATTGTGCATACACTTGTTAATACAAACTCCAGTGTTTAACTCTTTAACCATTAGTCACCACCCTTGTGCAATATAAGAACTATGAACTTCAGCATGAGTAAAGAAAAAAGATTCCATCTTTTTAACAAAAGGAAGAATATGAGAATTGAATAGAAGCAGATAATACCTGAATAGCCTCAGGACTAGCATAGGTTCGGGGGAAATTCCAGTGGTCTGCCCCAATAAGACACAACCTTGCACTGTCAGAATATGACTCAAAGTTTGCTTCCGCAACCAAGTAGCAGGTGTGTGCAGATATTATCTGCATCAAAATTCTAGTGTAAGGAAAATTAAAAACATATTTAATTAATTGGGGACTAATATCAACTAAGGAAGACAATTTGCAAAACATACTTCACATCTCTCCTTCCATAGGCAATCCCCAAGATGAATAATTACAAGCTCATCACCTTTTGTTCGGTTTGCAGTTATGATGGCCAAATTTTCCTGCCAATCATCTAACATACCATTGGCTCCAATCTGTTATCCATGTAATAGAACTAATGAGCTTACCAACAACAATATTTGAAAGGAAACTAAATTGATTTATAATGGCATCAACATATAAATTAGATAAAGGCAGTTGATAGAAATATCAGGAACTGCACAGGACTTATGTACATCCTCTGGTATGCACAATAACCATGATTGCATGCAACACAAGATTGAAATTACATAGTGCCCATGAGTCAGTGAAATATTGCCAAATTGGACACCTGGGAAGGCTGTTGTGGCAAATGTTCAACAAGAGGTGGGTCACTACTTGAGCTGACTGTGGAGAACACATCTGCTGGTTGTCCTGCAATTAGCAGACATAATGTTCGTAATGGCGATCCTGCTACTAATTGGCGATGTGCCATTTGCTTCACCGTATCAACATAAAACTGCAGAAATTCAAAAGAAACAAAGGAAGGTCAAAGTAGGTAAAAGAATATGTTGAAAATTTTTAACATATTCATCATGGATAAATTACAGGATCAATCTAAACAAACTGGAAAAAAAGGTAAAATATTTTTCACAAACCTGGTCTCCAAGTTGTGCTGCGAGAACAAGTGCAGGTCCCCACAACTGACCTTCTTGTGCACATTTGAGAGCCTCTTTTGTCTTACCGGAAACAAGAAGGTTTTGCACCTCAACAGCAGTTGCCTAGGAAATGTGATACAATTATTAATTGAAGGTGCTTCCTTTAGGAATAACAGGAGGTACATATAAGAACCATTGCATACCCGTATTTGTCCTTCAGAAGGAAGGTTCTGCAAGCAGTGAGCAATGGCTCCATATCCACTTATTTGGGCATCATTCCTTTTAGCAGATGCAAAAAGCTTAGCAACTGCTGATTCTGGTCTATCATTTTCCTATTAAAAAGAAATTAGAGCTCTATAATAAGATCATGGATATGTTATCAAATGTGTAGGAGAGCTCTTGATAGATAATATCTGCAGATGAGAGAAACAGTAACAAACTTAACCAGCAGTTATCAATCAGTAACTTCATTTACCCTAAAAAAATACAAAAACAAAGAAACGTCAAACTGGTATCTAGCTTACATGTAACATTGACTGAACACAATTATCAATACCTCTTCAGAATATTTTGAGGAGGTTTACAAGATTGCTAACAAGACTCCTTATTTATTGACCAGTACTGTTACAATCTTTATTTTTTTTTTTCAAAATAACCGTAGAAAAATTAAATCACACTTTCACCAAACCAACACTGCCCTATGAGCTATGGCTCTTTTGATAAGTAAGGATCACAAGGAAAATCGTTCAGAACATTTCTGACATTAAATATTTTCTATTTAAAGAAAGAAACCTACTCAGGATATTGGATAGTGAAAGAAGTTCTGAAAAGGAGCAATATCATTTATTTTTTTATAGCAAAAAATATAATTAAAACAAAAGCAAGTACAAGGAAGGTGATAAGAAATAGCCTGAAAGGAGAAAGCAAAAAAACAACATAACCTTCACCTAATCCAAGATCCTAGTAAGCACCATGACATCAAAACTAAAACCACATCTATAAAAGATAAATCCCTCTTACACTATTCAACTACAAAACAAGACATTAAACCCTTCCCCCTACCCCACCCAAACTACATACCCAAGCTTGTGATGTCAAAATTTCCAAAATCACAAGAATGTTTACCCCTCCTTGATCCACCTAACATAAACTGATAAACCCCCATATTTTAATTTGGAGGATTCTGATAACAAATTTAATCATTCACTCCTACACTTCCAAATCCCATTTCTTCTTGAGAATCAATCACCATCTCATTTACAAGCCCAGACAATATACTTAGTGTCATTATCGATTATGCTATCAGACAAATGCTCCCCTTCTGAATGATTTCTCACCTACTTGAAAAAAAATCATTTACTCAAAGTCAAGGCTACAACCAATGCTCACAATGGAAAGTCTGACATACTTAAAGTTTACATCTTAAACCTTGCACTACTTCATTCAAACTGGTAGACCCAAAATGCATATGATATTGGATCTGATAGTGAATGGGAAAGGCTCAACTCCAACAACCATAACTTCAAAATTAAACACAACAACCATTACCCAACATCAATGCCAAGAGTAGAGCATCAGGCAGATGCACCTATTTGTCTACATGTACAAAGGCTCAATAGGAGATATTATCAACCAATTTATACAATCAAATTGTGGCTCACAGAACATATGTTATGGGCCCGGGCGTAGGATCTCGTCACGGATCGGTCCACAGGGAAAAGCTCCGGTTTTCCCTTATTCCTCCCCTTCCTAGCTGAACCTATCTTGGCGTCCTAGAGGGTGATTTGTCCAAGAGATCACCAAACTCTCCTTTTACTCTCTTTCTTGACTGGAAATTTGATATCTTTATTCAATAATTTCAGCTCCTTAAATAGGAGATTACAAGAGGTAAGAGTCCCCCTTGTAGGAAGACTCCTTGATAACTAAACTGCTTGCAGATAAGATAGATAAGACGCCTAGATAAGACTAACTAAACTGCTTACAGATAAGATAAGAGTAAGAAAGCAAATACGATAAGGATAAGGTAAGATGAACTGTGGCTAGCTAGATAATCTGATGAGGGTCCCACGTTACTGCTGCTTCCGGCGGCGGTACTTCTTCCCCACGAATGCGTCCATAACAACATACTTGTCTACACCCCACACTGACTAATTTCCTCCAGGTACAACGTATACATATTATAGATAGCTGAGCTTTTAAATATATTTCTGTTTTAGCACTCACATTTTTTGGTAATAAATAAAAAGAAAATATTTTATTAGAAAAAGGAATAAGATATTTAGTGACAAGAGATTGCCCACAAGATTGAGACAAGGATCAAAATTTCACAATGTATTGGCCTGTATTGCCTATACCGGTATGCTGATTTTAGGAAAAGACACCAAATCCTTTTTTTTCCCACATCAAACTTCGACTTAGTGAGAGAACAGCTGCTTCCAGTTGATTTCTATCTTTTATTTCTGGTCTTCGTTCCCCTTCTCTTACAGGTCCTCTTGAATTTATTGTAGGGACCATCTCCAAAGAGACCTTCCTCCAAACGAAGAAAAACTTTAGAACATGAACTAATTGTACATTGTTAAATATTTAGGTTTTTTTTAAACCAGCCACAACCCCAAGATTTTTATTGTTCCCTTCAAACAAAATTATCTCTCTTTTCCTTCCTAAATTCACACCCAACTTCCAACAACAACCTGTCTGACAGTGGATTGATCCATAAAAACCACATCCCCATGTGAATGTTCAACTGCTGTTTTAGTGCTTGCACCATATAGCTCTTGGTTGTACATGGGCTGTTTTTATATCTTAAAGGGGCAAGGATTTACTGTCTAAAAACTATTAAAAAACATCAGCTATAAACACATTATCCAATTCCACTTCCTATCTATATAGGACCACCATATTAAAGAATAGGTAAAAGAAAACTCAACTCAACTAAGCCTTGTCCCAACTATATATGGTGAAGTACACGAATCATGTTCCACAATTCTGCCTTGTTCAATACATAAATTGTATTTTTTCTATAAGAAACAGAAATATTTCAATAAGGAGAATAGCAAAATTACTTATCGAAAAAAAAAGAACAGCCAAATTGCTCAAAAAACAAAATAGCTAGCTGGCCAAAACTAGTACAAAGTAGTTCAAAAATAATACAACACTAACTGAAATTCTCATGCAACTTAATTACATGATAAAAAGATATTACAGATTACAACCTGGTCCTGGACATCCCCATTTAAGCTTATTACTTTGCACTCCTGCCCTGACTAACAAGTCTGCAAGTCTATTAGCACATCTAGGCACCAAATAGAATGAGCTATTCAAATATGATACCCAAGAATTGTGCCTGTCACCATTGACCTTACATTCCAAGGAATCATATCTCATCTTTTTTTTCCTTTTGATAAATAATCACATCTTGTTTTCTCATCCAGCAAATTATAGCTTGGCAGTCTCCCAGAACCTCCACATTCTTCAAACCCTCCATACTAATCAAATTTAACACCCAAATCAAAGCAAGTAATTTGGCCCTCACGGAATTTCCAACACCAACAGGGCCAAAGCTTAGTAGTATGGGCCCTCAAACCATTTCTCACTACTTCAATCCATGTCCTATTTGGTCTGCCCCTAGCTTTGTTAGACCCTTCATTTTATTGCCTATTAAAACTACTCGTACCTTCCTTCAGATAAGTTCATTTCTGATTATGTATTTTCTACTTTTTGTACTCATCCATCTCTGCATTTACATTTCTGCTACACAATTTTTTTGGACATGTTTCTTGACTGACCAACACTCTGCCCATAGCCCCATACTATTACCCAAAAAAAAAAGAACACTCTGCCCATACAGCATTTTTTTTATAACTATCTGCCCGTACAGTATTGATAATCTTATAACTGTTTTATAAATTTTTCCTTTTAGCCTGAAAAGAAACTCTTATCACATGCATTCTACATGATTGCCAAAAAATCTCATATAGGACTCTGGATGCACCTTCAATTTTGCCCATCCTCCTCTAATTGTATGCGCAACAGCCAACACCATGGTTTCAAATAATTTTTCAGACATGTTGGCCAACATATTTTGGTTTCTAAGCCAACTAATAGAAACTCTAAAGTAAGTTTTAAAATTTCAAAAAATTGGTCAAATATCATAGTATTTGAGTCAAAGTTGACCATATCAACAACCAACATAAATATATTTCTTTTCAGAACTACAATCACCTCAAACAGAACAGGGTAGATGGGTAAATAGCGAGAGGATGTACAACAGCCCATTATTGCCTTAATCTGTGTATAACACACATCTTTTCATATAGCCTTCACAGCGTAATGCTTTTGATGGCTCTCCATCTTGTACATCCTCATTTTGTATGTTTTCCCTCGATTTTAATAAATTTCTTTTGACCATTGTTGCTCCAAAAATGTTTTGGAAGTAATAATCTAAGCAAAAGACAAGACATCCTTAAGTTTATCATAAGAGTAAGATAATGACAAAAGGACAACAATCAGAGAAAACTCAATGAACTATACCTTCGAAGTGGGGTCAGTTCCAAAAGGAGATCTAAGTTTTCCATAGTGCTGACAAGCTATTTTTAGCAAAGACAGAAGCAACTTCAAAAGCTTGCCCTTTCTGTAGTCCATGTTGGGGGATTCATAGCTTGCAATTCTCTCATCAATCCATTTATTTAATTCTTTATTTCCAACATTCCCACCAACTAGTGGGCCAGGGAAGGATTGCTGGCACAGACTCTGGAAGTAATCACAAACGCCATATGCAATGCCTGTGGTATCAGTTTTGTCCAAGATAACTCCCATCAAGTTGAGAATAGAAACTGAGCCTCCCATAGGGTCCTTCACATAAATAAACATAAATGCAGAACCTTTGATGTAAGAAAATTTCTAATAAAGATAATTTACAAATTGAAAACACAACAATTTTATGGAGAGCTGAAGCTATGAACTTAGGATCTAACCTGGCTTCCATATGCAGGATTAGTAACAAAAGAATAATTATTTTTCATGACAATGAGTTTTCCACCAAACCCAAAAGTAACCAGGGCATGGGGGGGACGTCCTGCAGATGACCTCCCCTCATTAGGAGAATAGGGGGGCTGAGTGCCTGTATGGAAATGTTGCTGGGAAAGGTTCCCTGATTTCTGGCTGCCATAGTAATTGTGTGAGGATTGCATCTGTTGGTTCTGCTCTACCTTCGTCTGTTTAAACTGTTGGGAGAAGTTGTCAGGAGTAAAATTTTGAAACCCAGTAAACCCATTGCTACCACCATAACTGCGCGTTGTCTGCTCATACGAAGAACCTGTTCCTGTGGGTTTATACCCCATTCCTTGATTCATATAGTTATTTACTTCACCAGGTGAACTATAAAGATCCCTTGATTGCTGGTTTTCAACGAAACCAGCTACAGCCTCAGTCTTAGCAACAGCTGTAGGTTGCCATGTACTCATATTCTGATGAGCATAGTTATTCATTGACCCAGCCCAGTCCCCAGTTTGGTCTTTAGCACTGAAGACTTGTGATCCATACTTTTCAACTTGCCCATACTCACTGTACTGGTTGCGGTCTTTCTCGGAGTGAAAATCACCTGTCAAAGCATTATCATGTTCATTTGTCTGGTAATGAGCTGTCCCTGTTGACTGAACAGATGCAACATAAGACTCTAACAAGCGCCATTCCTGGGCAATAGTGTCATAGTACCAACCAGGATACTGGGGATCAAATACCATATTTGATGGGTACTCGGTGCTCACTTGAGAGGCCTGATTCCAGCTAGAGACACTACCCGTTGTGCAACTCTCAGCAATGGTTCCTGCAACTGACTGAGCTGTTTGTTGCAAATAAGAAACTTCTGATCTCTGGCCTAAAACAACATTATCACCTATCGACTGAGCGTTACCTTCAAAATCCCCCCCTCTATTCATTGTTGTTGCATCAGAACCATCCACTTGATGCCATTCCCCAGTATTTGGATTATATTTCCAGCCTGGATAGAGGTTTTCCCAATATTGACTGCTATACATATCCTGCCCATCTGTAGTTTGTTCCATCCCTGATCCATATACTTGACTCCCTTGATGTTGCACAGAACTAACTGAAGAAGTCAATTTGCTACCCACATTCCCTGAAGTGCTAGATATTGTGTTGGAAACAATCTCTGTATTCTTCTCCATCTTCTCAAATGGGTCGCTTGATCCATCTCCCAACTCAGTAAAGAAGTCCGAGTATGATCCGAACCCACTGCCACCATGCTGAGCCAAATCAGAGTTAAAAGAACTCCACTGGACCTCTTTAAAACCCGCATCCCTGGATCCACTGTTCTCGATTGTTGTGGAATCCGATGCAACATCCACCCCGGCAACGGTATTACTTGCTTCGATCACGTTATCAGAATGCATTTCCCCTTTTCTATCGAAACCGTCATCTTCGGCGTCGGGACCTTCTGATACAGTGCCAACCTCGGAAATGCTCAAATTCGATAGTGCTTTCACCTCATCGGAATCATTAACTTCAGCACCAGATTCCGTAACGGCAAACTCCTCGTCAACAAGCTTGTTGAAGAAGTCCACATCCGTCTGATCCTCCACCTGAAATGGAGGAGAAGCCATGGAATACAATACTAAAACCTCTAAGATCCTTCTCTCGAACGGTTGGTCCGGAATTCAACCCAACTCAACAAAGTTAACTACAATTCAGCTCAGAAACGTTCAAACTCCTCCTCAACACCAGTCTCTGCAGATCCAAAGATACGCTTAAACGAGTTAATATTCCCCGGATCCCCTCTCTCAAACCTTGTTATACAAAATCAGATCTGAAATCCAGAGATAAGAAAAAGAACCCTAGGCATTCAAAACAAAAGGTATTTCCAATTCCAACACCCAAATTAGGGTTCTACGCCCGAATCATCTAAAGCAAAACCTAAAACAAGTAAGATCCACCCTTCCTGAAATCCGCCACTTAAAAGCCATAAATCGACCAAAATTTAAAATAAAATACGGAAAATAATCGCCTTAAATTCAACCCTCCGGCTGACAACAAAATTTAAACTTTCAGGGAAAAAGAAATCACTTACCAAATTCGCAGGGCGATCAAGAGAAAGCAAAGAGAAGCCAAGCGGGAACAAGCCCTCGGTTTCGCAATTCGCACCAGCCCATGTATCACCCACCACCAAAGTCTCGGTTTTTTTGTTCTTCTGTTTTGTATTTTCTTTCTTTGTTTATTTTTTTACCGCCAAATACGATATAAAGTATATAAAGAATAATTGAATATCACACAAACTTAGTTTTCATTTACCCAAAAAAATATATATATATATATATATATATTTTTCAGATCTGCCGGTATCAGTGTCTTGTTGGTAAAGACATAAATGAAGCCTGTCTGACTAACTCCAGTTTGCCCTCGCCTGTGTATCTTTTCCTTGGACCAACTAACTTTTGGGTGTGGTGACTAGGAATAAGGAGAAAAGGTAAATCATTCAACATGTGATTTTCCAAATTCCTTCCTTAATAATATTTCAGAGAAATTACACATGCATACCCTTAATTTGACATGAAACCCTAACATAAAAGGCTCTTGTACAATTGGAATTAATGGAAGGGATTTATTTGTATAATTTCCATGGTTTTCGAAAACCGGATTGGATCGGGCGGTCGAACCAGAAAAACGATTACCGGTCAGTCCCCCGAGTCCAGTTTTACTAAAAACCAGAAATTGTTAAAAAATGTTGAAAAAGGTCAGAAAACCGTTGACCCAGGCGATCAGACTGTTAAACCATTTGACTCGGGTAGCAATTCGCGGGTTAGTATTTTTATTTTTAATGTTTTAAATAAAAAAACAAAAAATAAAATATCTTTTATATCCCCAACCCAGTTCGAATCCCTTACTCCCTTTAGCTTTAGGGTTAAAACTTCTAACCCTTCCTAAGTTCCCTCCTCTCAACCCTCACACCCTACTGACCGACCACCTGTGACGGCCAACACCTCCGGCGTCCAATGGCGATACACACTGACTGACAGCAACCAACGAGCTTGCAGCGGCGAAAAGACTCACCCGCACCTGCAATGGCATAAGACTCATCCTCACCAGCACTTGCAGCGGCGTCCAACGGCGAAAAGACTCACCAACACTTGCAATGGTTATCCGGCAAGTTTGCAGCGACACTCAACACTGGGCATTGGCGACCAAGCCCACTGTCTGCGAGTTGGAGCAGCACTTGCAGGCTTGCAGCTGCAACTTGCCTGCAACCAAGCTCGACTGCCCGAGCCCACTATGTATTTTTTGTATTTCATTTAAATTTCTATTTTTGCATAAATCCATGCATTATTTCCTTTCTCTTGGTTCCTCGTCTGACATGCTCATCCGCACCCAACACCTCATGCAGATTGCCATGAAGAGGCTTAAGAAGGAATTTTATCATATTCTCTTTGCCAATCGCGATCATCTCGATCCCAAATTCATCTCTGGCCACTCCTCCCTCATCTCCACCTCCGCAAGATCCAGCACCTCCGATTACGATGACACTTATGAAGACGACGCTCATGTCATCGCTCACTCTATCTCCGATGTCGAGCAAGCTTCCACGCTCGCAATGTCGGATCTCAAGTCCATTGCCGATTGCATGATTTACTCGGGCTACGGTAAAGAGTGCGTGAAGATCTACAAGATCATCAGAAAATCAATCGTGCAGGTCTCTACCATCTCGGAATCGAGCAGCTTACCTCCTCTCGCATCCAAAAGATGGATTGGGATGTCTTAGACCTTAAGATCAAAACCTGGCTCAACGCCGCCAAGGTCGCAGTCAAGACTCTTAAAAAGGGGAGAGAATTCTTTGCTATTTTTTTATATATAAATATTTTTTATTTTTTATTTATTTATGATGTCATAGGTTGAACCATTCAACTTGGATGGTTGAACCGTTGAACCAGAAAACGGTGCCCTGATCAATTTGTTCTCCGGGTCAGTTTTAAAAACCTTGATAATTTCTCTAAATGTCATGAGAGGAATTTGGAAATGTCAAAAGCATAGAAGAGGTTAAAGCATTTATCAAAAAACATAATACATGGAGCTTTAAGGATCCATTTGGTTTATAATAGGAATCAAAATTAAAACCTCTCAGAAGCAAAACTGGAATGGTCTATTCCCATTGGTGTTTTTAAACAGGACTTGACCAGTTCTGTTTCACCTCAAAACCATTGATTTGGTCAGTGAACCGCTGACCCGAGCAATTGAATCGTTGAACCAGACAATATTTTTTTTGTCATCTTCTATTTTTTAATATTTTAAATTTTTTTTGTCTAAGCAGGTCGTTCGTTCGGACCGGAAGGTCAGACAATTCGACCTTGGAACCAGACCCCAGAAAGGGTTCCCTGTTTGTTCGTTTTTAAAAACCTTGATTTCCATAGTCTGTTTGATTCATACAGGAATTGGAATCAACTGGAATGAGATTTTATTTTCTAAAGGAGAGGGGGAAGGATGCCATTCCACCATGAATGGGAATAGAATTCCAATTCCACCTAACCAAACAGTTGGAATTAGAATGACCCATTTCAATTCCAATTACAGACCCCTATTATCATGAACCAAACAGGCCCTAAGTAATTTATGTTACATATGTCCATATCTGAGAATGAAATTCCACTTGGATTTATGAGTTACCAATAAACAACATGATCCATGAGATGCATAGAAATTCACAATTTGCCACAAAAATTAAATGCATGATAAATTAGAATTCGGATTTTCTCCTCACCAAAAATGAGAGCTGAGATACAAGTGCTATGAGGTTGGTGTGAAGATTGCTCTCTGGGCAGAAAATCCAAATTCATATTTACATGTTTGAAGGTGCATCCTTATTTATTGAATCCATAGAGGTGTAACTAGGGCGGGCTTAAGTCTTTTTTTTTTTAATTTTAAATGGGCCCAGGCCCAAAATAGTGTAAACTGCTAACGAACAACTCAAGTTGCAGCCATAAAAACCACTGATAGGTAGATTTTACAGACAAAGAACCAATGTTTTCAAAACCGGATCTGATCAGACAGTTGAACTGGAAAAACTGGTAATTGGTCATTTGATCAGTTTCGTTTTGTCCTAAAACCGCTATTTGGTCAAAAGTCATTGATTTGATCAATGAACGTTAACTCGGCGATTGAACTTTTTGACTTGGAAATGATTTTTAACCATTTTTTTGGTTTTTTTAATTTTAAAATTTTTATTTTTTGTCAGAAAAAACCATCCATTTGGACTGGATGGTCAGATCATTTAATCTGAAAACCAGACCCAAAACAATTCCCTGTCCAATGCGATTTTAAAAACCTTACAAACAACTTAAAATAATTGGACGGCATAAAAAAAAAAGCCATAAAATATATTGACCCACAATTTTTTTGTTGGGAGTATGGGACCAAGGAATGATGTGTAATAAGATCACGTTTCCTGGAAGGTCCACCACTCTCTAATTGCATCACAAAAGAAAGATGAGAGTCGAGAGTGTGGATTTGGGGGAGAGAGAGAGAAAAATAAATGGATTAGAATTTTTAAATGGTGGCTTGGACGTGAAGCTAATGCAAATAAGGATACTATACGGTAAAGATTTTTTTATAAAAAAAATTATATCTTATTTTTGAAGTCTTAAGATCAGAGAGATTTTTTTTTTTTCTTTTGGGTGTCTAATAAGTATGCATGAATCCACTGGATAAAATTTGTATGAATTGATCAAATATAGTGAAAAAAATAGGAGATTTAATGGTGAAAAGGAAGATAAATTGAATGTGAACTTGTCATCGAAAACAATGGTTCTGCGAAAGTAGTAGTTATACAGGAGGTTTATTTGTTGAGTACATTCCTTAATCATAAGCACTCATGGTGAGTACACTGAGTAAGCATTCATAATTTTTTTTTAACACCTGTCCCTCAAAATATACGTTCAGCCTATTTTTGAAAATAGATTAAAAATAACTTTTGATACAGTTGTCGGAATATTATTGAATTAATGCTGTATTTCAAATAAAAAAAAGAATATTATTGAGTGCTCATTGAATGTGTTTCCTATATCAGATTCTCCTCAAGTGTACCTTCGTATTAAATGGGATCTCCCAATTAGGCTTGGTGTGCTGCAAAAATATTTAAAGTGGGAGGGGAGGTTAAGGGACAGATATCAAAATGATGAATCCGGATCTGTTCTCACAGAACGCTCCTCAGACCAACCTTGCAACATGTGTGTTTTTATTCATGGGATATGTTTTCAATACATGGTGGGATGTGGTGTGAAGTCAGTGTGAAGTGCATTATGTGAGAAAAAATCCTAATTCCAAAATGATAATGTGCTCGAAGTTCAAAATTTTGATATATATTGGTGGCTCCCCGATATGCCCCTACAAGGGGTGTTTCGGGGTCAGACCTAGTTCAGGAGCTAGACAGGTCTTAAACTGACGCCTCTGAACCGATTTAAAAAAAAAAAACTAAAAATTAAAAAATAAAAGCGAGCCTAAGTACAGATATGAGCATATTCTATTTGTATCGATATTTTAAACTTTGAATGTGCATATTCAGTTTATTCAGTATGATTTATCATATCAGGACTCTCTCCCCTATTATGCAGCATTATATGGCAAAGCCTACTAGCTTTGCACCATGTCAATACACATTCTTTTAGTCCCAAATTTTACTCCTGATAGTTAATGATAAAATTCTATTGAGTAACCCCTTGAAAAAGCTGTACACAAGATCATCTCTTCATTGATCTTCTGGAGTAGATCCATGGCACACCTACTTTATCTTTTTTGGAGACACTTGAAAATGGAAGGAAGGATATGAGTAGGTAGATCTGCAACTTCGGCGGGTTCAGATTGGACTTTTGTCAAATTTTGAATGCGCTTGACCCTTGGCTTTAAACAGTGTAAAATGTCAACTCGAACCAACCGAGTTCCACCCTTGTCACTGGGCCAGAAAATGCTGCTCACCCTTGAGTCCCATGCATAGTTTGCCAGAGCATCCACCACTTGGTGAGATCACATTACTTGTGACCGTGGTCGCAGAAGACCTCAGTTAAATGCAAATACACCTCAGCGACTCCGGTGAAATGCAAATACATGGGTGTTTGCAATAAATTCAATACATCACGTCAAATGTATTATCATTTGAAACACTGACGTGCTAACATTTCATTGGGGTTGTTGAGTTATTCTTCGAGGAGAGTTGCAGGTATTTTTTCCCCCACTTG